GGCACACACGTGCCACTTGTATATATACATATATATATAGATGTATATATATATATATATATATATATATATACTAGAACCACGCGCGCGCTTCGCGCGCGCTTAGGTTCTGTCAAGTCACAGACCCAGGAACCGTTGTGAGAAGAAATTGGTGACGCGAAGCGTCGTGGGGGCGTCCTTGGACGTCTGGGGTCTCCTGGGGCCTCTTGAGGGGCCTCCTGGGGGCCTCCTGGCGGCCTCTTGGGGCGGAAGGCTCGAGCTTGCGGTTCGTGGTCCCCCTCTGGGCCCCCTCTTGGGCCCGTCTTGGGGCCCTCTTGGGCCATCTTGGGCGCCTCTTGGGCCGTCTTGGGGCCCTCTTGGGCTGTCCTTGGGCCTCCTTTGGGCCTCTTGGGGGTCTCCTGGGGCCTCTTGAGGGGCCTCCTGATGGCCTCCTGGCGGCCTCTTGGGGCGGAAGGCTCGAGCTTGCGGTTCGTGGTCCCCCTCTGGGCCCCCTCTTGGGCCCGTCTTGGGGCCCTCTTGGGCCATCTTGGGCGCCTCTTGGGCCGTCTTGGGGCCCTCTTGGGCTGTCCTGGGGCCCTCTTGGAAGCTTCTTGGGCCGTCTTGGGGCGGTCTTGGGCGCCTCTTGGGCCGTCCTGTAACGTCGGAAAGCCCAAAAGACAACTTTGTTGAAAATGTACGTTTTACGAAGGGAATGGGCCAATTTTTGCGTCTAGGGGCCCTCTTGGGACGCATGTTGGAGGCTTCTTGGGGCCTCTTGGGGGCGTCCTTGGACGTCTGGGGTCTCCTGGGGCCTCTTGAGGGGCCTCCTGGGGGCCTCCTGGCGGCCTCTTGGGGCGGAAGGCTCGAGCTTGCGGTTCGTGGTCCCCCTCTGGGCCCCCTCTTGGGCCCGTCTTGGGGCCCTCTTGGGCCATCTTGGGCGCCTCTTGGGCCGTCTTGGGGCCCTCTTGGGCTGTCCTGGGGCCCTCTGGGAAGCTTCTTGGGCCGTCTTGGGGCGGTCTTGGGCGCCTCTTGGGCCGTCCTGTAACGTCGGAAAGCCCAAAAGGCGACTTTGTTAAAAATGTACGTTTTACGAAGGGAATGGGCCAATTTTGCGTCTAGGGGCCCTCTTGGGACGCATGTTGGAGGCTTCTTGGGGCCTCTTGGGGGCGTCCTTGGACGTCTGGGGTCTCCTGGGGCCTCTTGAGGGGCCTCCTGGGGGCCTCCTGGCGGCCTCTTGGGGCGGAAGGCTCGAGCTTGCGGTTCGTGGTCCCCCTCTGGGCCCCCTCTTGGGCCCGTCTTGGGGCCCTCTTGGGCCATCTTGGGCGCCTCTTGGGCCGTCTTGGGGCCCTCTTGGGCTGTCCTGGGGCCCTCTGGGAAGCTTCTTGGGCCGTCTTGGGGCGGTCTTGGGCGCCTCTTGGGCCGTCCTGTAACGTCGGAAAGCCCAAAAGACAACTTTGTTGAAAATGTACGTTTTACGAAGGGAATGGGCCAATGTTTGCGTCTAGGGGCCCTCTTGGGACGCATGTTGGAGGCTTCTTGGGGCCTCTTGGGGGCCTCCTTGGACGTCTGGAGGCCATCTTCAGCATCTCGGAGCCCTCTTGGAGGCCTCTTGGAAGTTTCTTGGGCCGTCTTGGGCGCTTCTTGGGCCGTCTTGTCTGACTGGGGAGGCCTCCGGCAAGCCCCGACGAGCCTCCGGGCCCCCCGGGGCGCACATTTGTGGTCGAGGTCCCGGCCCCGGGCCCCCGGACCAGGTGCGCCGTTATATGTATGCACACACGCTGTTATTTTTCAAACAAAAAACACCCCGCCACCACCGCCACCACCGCCGCAACAACCACCACCGCCACCACCGCCACCGCCACCGCCCCACCCCACCCACCCCTCGCGCTCGCCAGGGCCATGGCAGCCCGAAAGCGATCAGAGGCCGAGCCCCCCCCCTCCCCCCCCCCCACCCCTCCTCCGCGCCCTCCGCGTCGCCCCCATTCTTCATGCGAGCTCATGCGTAGGCTCCGTTTGCGCGGGGCTTTGGGGGGGCACTTCAAAAGGATGAGGATCGAGAAAAGAAGGGGGGGGGGGGGGGGGGGGGCAGATGCGACTGCGAAGGCTAACTGCGCAGCGCGGCGCGAGTCTCCCAGCTCAGACCTTGTGACTGCCGCGCCTCCGCCAATCTCGCGTCGCTTCCTGCTTCCGATGCCGGTTGGGGGCTCATCCGCAAATCATTGAAGTTCATGGCGTTTCAGATGCATGCGAATTTACGTTGAAATTATTCAGCGCGTCTCGCCTGTGACATCCCCACCAAAATGCGCAGATTAATGATTCATGAAGTCTCAGACTCATGGGTGCGTGAGGCCTGCTTGATTTCTATGCGTCTCTGCTATTTCAGCGCCTTGGCTCTGCTGGCTGGCTGCGCGGGGCAGCTTCATCTCGGCGCTCAGTTCTTCGACGCAGCCCCCCCCCCCCCCGCTTCGCGCGGGCATCGTGCATATCGTTCAGCGTCGACACTTCATGCCCCCATGCCTTGACCGCCGCGGCCATGGCAACCTTTTTCTCGAGCTACACCTCGATGGCCGACTCGGCGTCAGTTGTCCAAACCCTCTCGAGGAAGTCGCCGTCCATGACCCAGTCGTTCCAGAAGGCGGAGCTGGCCTTCGTCGAGTCGAGCTTCGCGCGGGCCCTCCGCAACTGCTTGGGCCAGAGCTCGTCGTTTGCAAACTCGCACTAGGGGTTCTCCGCCGCGGCCTGCAGGAAGTCCGCGCAGCGGGATGCGACCTGGCCGCGCCTCTCCTTCAGCGGCTCGAGTTGCTTCAGATTCTCTGCAACTTCGTCCCTGACGGGCTGGCCCTCGCCATCGACGCCAGGCCCCTCGCCATCCTTCTCCGACAACTTCGGCCCCTCGTCGCTCTTGTCGCTCTTGCCTTCGCCGCCGCCCTCGCGCGTCTTCGGATTGTCCTTCGGCGCCGCGGTGGTCGCGACCTCCGCGGCGGTCGCGACTGCGGCCGCGGCCGCGCTCGCACCTCTGCCCGCGGCGGCCGCCGCCACCGACGCGGCCCGAGCGCCCGCCCGCCCCCGGCGCTGCTCGGCGAGCTGGGCACCGCTAGACGGGGTCGCGCCGACCTCGGACTCAGCGCTCGCGACCGCGAGCGCCTCCGCCTCGCGAGACGGATCGGCCTCAACTATCGCATCTGGCCATTTCTTTGACAAGGTATGCCGAGAACGATTCCTGACGCACAAGAACTCCAACCTTTTCGTGCAGCTGCTGGAGGAAAAGAACGAAAGAGTCCGAGTGCCCTTGCCGACCTTATAGTGCCCCGCGCACTCCGCCACGTAGTTCCTCGCCGCCCGCAGGGCGGGGCCATCGCCCCCTCTTCCCGAGCGATGGCCGAGGGAGGCATGTGCGCGCCGTCCAGCTCGCCCATCTCCGCGAGCTCGGTCGCCTTGGACCTCTCCCCCTCATGGTCTTGAAGATGCTTTCGCCTTGAGGGCTTCGCAGTCAGCCGCCATCTGCCTGTCCTTCGCCCTGGCCGCGCTCCACTTGGATCCGAAGGGGCCGCGCAGGTCGAACTTGTTCTCGGTGATCGTTTTGGCGAATGCATCTGCGATGGAGTCCTGCGCGTCGCGATGGACACTGGCATCGGCGCCGTCGTCGGCGCCGACCAGATCCTTCAGCGCGTCGGTGTACTCCACCTCCTCGGCAGTGAGCGCTGCTGGGCCCAACGAGGCAGGGGCAGCGATCAACGCCGCGAGTCCTGGCGCCGCACCTGCCGTGCAAGCTGCGCCATCGCCAGCCTTGCCCGAGCCCGCGCCAAAGGGCCTCCGCCATCGCGGACATCCGCCGCGCTCTGGGCGAATGCGTCGGCGGGAGGCTCGGCCGCGCAAGCGCCGCCTGCCTCTGGCGCGCGCTGTGCATCGCCGGCCATCCGGCTTCTCGCGAAGGCGAGGGCCTCCCCCAGATTCGGGATTGCGAAGGGGGCCGACATGCCCGAGGCCGAGAGGGCCAGGGGACCGCTGCGCGATCGATTTAGTCCACCACAAGTCCCTGGCAAAAACAAGCCTACTGAATAGCGTCGTCGTGTCCTGGGAAAGGCCTGGGTCGGTCATGAGCGGAATGGTCGTTTCAATGGTGCTCAGGATTGCTGCTACGTCTAATTGGTGATGTTGCGGGTCACCCACCCCCCGCATTCGCCGCTGCGTTCGTGTCATCGGGGGGGGGGGGGGGGGCACGGGGTGAAGACGAGCAGAAGATTAGTCAGGACTCGCCAAGCGGTACGTGCATGAGAGCCCGCGTCGTCCAGAGTGCGTGATCTGGTGCACTGATACAGCATAATTGCCAGACTGCGCGAGCCCATGACATGATTGTACTTGAAGTGTCGTGTACCGCGTGAGTATACGTGTCATTGTTTGATGTGCGAGATGTATGTTTACCTGCTACGATGTTTTCGTATACGCACGTATCCGCGTATATGGTTGTATGTCATGCAGTGCGATGCCATGGCATGGTATGGCTTGGCATCATCGGGTATGCTATGATGTGATTTCCCATTGCTAATGCTATGCGGTGATATGGAGACGCACTTGCCTGGCATGCAAGGCCCTGCCCTGCTAGCCGACGCATTGTCCACGCACGTGCACTGACCCGCGTGCGCATGCACGTTTATGTTTTCTGTGAGCCCGACGGCGCTCGAACGCTGGCAAGCCAGTCGCTCGCCTTGCGAAATGCACTCGGGAGCACATACGTTATTAATCCAAACAGCTAAGCCGGCAATCCAACCCACTGCGCTCAAAGCAGACCGCCTCGTGTCGGCGCGGCACCTCCCCCGCCTCCCCTGAACGCGAAGACGTGTACAGGGGCGGATGGCATCTCCAGTGAATCCCTCGCAGCACGCGCGGACTGCGGCAAGCCCATGCGCTGGCGCGACACCGCTACAGCCGAAGCCCATGCGGACGCGACGCGACGCGCACCCCAAACGCGCATCAGAATCGGGATGGCGCGAGGCACCGATCTGACGCAAGACGGAAATTACCCCGCATGTCGAGGGTTAAGTCTATCCCTGTGCCGCCGTTGCTGTCGCTGCCCTTGCTGGGCGCACGTTGCGAAGAGGATGCGCTCGAATCCGCGCCGTCAGGGGCGCCGTTGGCCTTCGGCTCAATCTCCGGCTGAGCCGCCCTGGGAGCACGGAGCTTCTGCGGCGCGGTGGCATCCTTGCCGCCGTCAGCGATGTCGCCCGTGCCCTTGGCCGCGCCCTTGGTCAAGTGGTCAAGAGCGCGAGCCCCGCGCGCCTTGTCCTTCTCGGCCCCGATCTCCTTTGTTCGTCATGATTTCACTTGCAGAGGCCAGCTTCTCCGCGCGCTCCACGGCTGCGCTCGAGGCGCCTGCCCTCCCGACCTCCTCATCTCCTGCGGCCTCCGCGGGCAGCTTCGACAGGATTTGGGCATGCTGGGCGCGCGTCTTCTCGCCGTCGTCGTCGACGGTGGTCTCGAATGCCAGGTAGATTGGCCGCGTATTCACGTCGGTGTCCTTCCTCTCGCCGCCCTTGAACTCATTCCAGCGCTTCTTGTCCATCAGCTCGGACTTCACCGCCTCGTGCGTGGTCGCCCCATCCTTGCTGGTCGCTGAGTGGAGCGCGCCGTTGCTCTTCTTGTTCTGGCTTGGACTGCACTTCAGGATCTCGCGCAATTCCTGGGGGCACGTGGCCAGAACCCTGTCGGTTTGAACCGTCGTGCGCAAACGCAGCCCAGCAAAAGCGGTCCGTCCTCGCAGGCAAGACGCACCCCCCGAAGACTTTGCTGCGCTTCCCCTTGCGCGCGGTCTCCGCGCACGGCGGGCGGCTCTCGGCAACGCCATCGCACTCCGCGTCGGCCGTGGCGCCCTCGGCCTCCTCCTTCGCGCCAGCGTTGGCGTTGTCAACCGTCATCGGGGTGCTGCTCGCAGGGGCGGCGTCGCCGTCGCCCTAGCCGCGCGCGTCGCCGTCGTCATTGCCCTCGCTCGGGCGCTCGCCCCCCTGGGGCGCCTCCGCGACGCCGCTCGCGGGATCCTCTCTGGCGGGGCTGGCCTCGAGCTGACTGCCCGCTTCGGCGCCCGAGTCCTCCGACGCCTCCTGATCGGCTAGCTGCACCCCCCCCCCCTCGTCGCCCGCGTCGTCGTTCCCGCCCCCCGCGAGGCGCAGCAGCACCGGCGCCCACTTGCCCCCCGCGCGGCGGGCAGCCCGTGCGCGCGAGAACATCGCCCAGATCCTCTCCGCAACGGCGGTCACCCAATTCGCCTGGTGCTCGGGGGCCAACTTTGGCGACCAGTAGATGTTCCTCTTCCAGAGAATCACCTCGAGGGCGCATTCCATCTGGGGCTGCGAGAACTGCTGGTTGTCGCTGGGCCCCAGAAGCCCAATAATCATATGGATGTGTTGTCGCCTGTCTCGTTGACCTTGTCCTTGACTTTCTCGGGGCGCCGGATGAAGGCGCAGTTCGTGGCGCGCGGCATGGGGATTTCGATCTGCTGATCGCGCGTGCCGCTCCGGGCAGGCACAGGCGACGCCCTCTCTGAGACTGGCAGCTCGGCCGTTGTCAATAACCGCTGCAAACAGCAGCGGCAGCTGAATCGTTGAACTGCAGGCTTGGGCAAAACTACGGCGACGATGGGCCGCGGGGAACAGGGGCGGGCGTGATCGGGCGCGGCGGCGCGGGGAAGGCGAGCGTGGATGGGGGGCGCGACGCAGCCGCTGGCTTCCCGCGCGGCGGAGGGGGGCCGGGCTCCCCCGTGGGTCGTGCCCAGGCAAGATCCGCGAAAGAGAAGGGGCTCCGGGGCGGCCTCGGGCCAGGAATCCGCGCGCGCAACCCAAGGGGCGCCCCGCGGTTGCACCGCGGGTGTCTCGCGGCTGCCCTGCGGTTGCCCTGCGGTTGTCTCGCGGATGCGCCGCGGTTGCTTCGGCGACCAAGCCGCTGTCGTTTTGTTTGTTGTGTTTGTATGTTTCGCGTGTGTGTGATTGTTGTTACCGCGTGTTGTCTGCTTGTTTGTTGTTGGTGCGCGCGCGCGTGCGCGCGCGCGCGGGGGGGGGGGGTCGCGGGCTGCCCGGGGCAATCTCGGGCGGTTGAGCGCCGTCGGAAGCCGCCCTGGGCGACTCCGCGAAGGGGGCGGGGCTCGCCCCCCCTCGGCGCGCCATTCTGGCGGCCTCCGTCTCGGAGCGACGACGCAGCGGCAACGGCAACAACGCGCGCAACGCGCACGTGACTAGCAGTTCTAACCGCAGCGCGAAACCGACGATACCAGCAACGACAGCAACAACGCCAACGATAGCAGCAACAACAATAACGACACTATGTTCAACGACAGAGGCACCACCGGCGCCATCAACGGCAACCGCGCATGCCAAGTGCGCAGACGCGAACGCCGACAACCATATAGATCCACAGCGACGCAACCAACGACGACTTGAATATGAAGAACAGCACCACCAGCAAGACAATGCAACCTTAACGTTGTCGGGGCATCGCCATTTGAATAGCTCGCAGCATGTCGTAGCATCGTGACGTCGTAAACTTGAGTGGTGTAGCACATGGATCATATAACGCAATTGCGCGTCTGATGGGAAGACGGGCGCATTTCGCGCGTCTTAAATAAATTGCCTTAAATGCAACTTGTCGCGAGACGCATTAAAATACAACTTGTCAACCTCAGGGCCCCGCGGCAGAACGAATAAACGAACTGACCTCCGCGGTCGGCTTGCATGCGCGGAGCGCCCCGTCAGCTGCTGGGGCGCTGTCTCGCCGGCGAGCAGGCGACGTGGTCGGCCTGCAGCAGCTCCAGTTGATCACGCGGCCCGGCGTCTGCAGCGCCAGGCGTCTGGCGATGCTCTGAGACGCCCGCAAGGTCGAACTCTCTCCAGTGCCCCATGAGCGCCTTTCTCGACTTATGGCCCCGATTGGCGGAATTCTAAGAGTGGATCCTGAATCTCTTCTCGGGCTCTGGATCTTTGATCATGGATGTTTCTCCGGCCCTCGCGCGGACGAAGGAGTTCCGGCCTGGCCTTCTATCCGGCAGAATTCGCGGCTTCGAGTCTCACCCAGCCGGCGTGGTTCCCACCGAGCTGGCAGTCGCTGCCGCCGTCCTCGCATCCTGTTCTGCTCGCGCCGCGCCGCCGTGGAGCCCGCGCGGCTGCGTTCCCGCCCCTCCGGCGACTGCCGGGCGACGCTGGCCTACCACGGGTCTCTCCCGCCGCGCCGTCTCGGGCATCTCAGGGACAACGAGCGCGCCGTTCGACGCGGATGCGCCAGCCCAGGGCCTCGCAGACGTCGCCCTGGCGCTGTTAAGCAGGCGCCGTGGCTTTAGGGCCTGGCGACTGCGAGCGTTGCCAGGCAGCTTCTGCGGCGCGTTGCCGATCAGAGCGGTCTCCTTCTCATCTGGGACGGCTGGCTCTGCTACTGCTGCTGCTGCGCCCTTGGCCCCCTCGGCGGTCGTTCCCCCTGCTGCGGCCTCTCCTTGAGCGCCCGCCCTGCGCTTCTTGGCGGACAATATTGCGACTTGCTTAGCCCGGTCCTCCTGGGCTGCTCACACACGGCAATGGATCCCTTGAAGATGTTCGCCGGGCGCCCCTCGCTCTGGCGAGCAATTCGTGTCTTGCGCTTCTCGGACTCCTGTGCGTCGCTCTCCTCGAGGTCGCGGCTGTCCGCGGTTGAAGACGAACCCAGGACATCGTCCATAGGGAAGACGTCCTGCAAGCTGATATTGTCATCAACCAGTTCTTCGATGCTGACAATAGTTTTACCTGGCTGTTGCTCGAGTGGGTGCTGGCGGCCATTGACCTGAATCTCCGCCGCTATGTCGCTGACCTCCTTGTCAACGGTTTCGAATTCCACTGCCATCTGGGCGACGCTGGCTTCGAGATCCTTCGCTGTTGTGCGCCACCTCTCCTGCTTGGCGCGTTTGCTGTTGAGGTGTTTCCCCGAGCTGGTCTGTTTATGTTCAGCGACTTGCCACTTCTGGCTCCCCGTGGAAGCGATTTGGCCTGATGGCCCACGTGCTGCCAGCGCTGCGCTTGAGATCTTTCGGTTCCTGCTGTGTCTCCTGCCTTCTGCGCCATCTCGTCGTCGTCCATGGTGGCCACCGGTCTTGACGGCAGGGCTGCGCGGGTGGAGACACCGTGCGGTTGAGCATCATCATGTTATGCTTTGCCTTTGCTTGTATTGCCTTTTCCTTTGCCGAGCCCAGGTTTGGTTTTGACCCCTCCTTTCTCTTCACCGACAAATTCTGCATGTGGAATTGGGCGGAACTTCGTGATGGACGATACGCACCGCTTGCAGCACAGGGGCCCGAAACCGTTGTGTTTGCACCCGCCGGCCAAACACGTGACGAAAACGTGTCCCTCCGTTTGCCGTATGCCCTCCGTTTGCCGTGTGCCCTTCCTTCCGTTACACGTATGATCCTCTCCAACGACGAAGGCGACGATGCCAAGGAATTGAAAACCATGCGGAACCAACATCGCGACGGCTGGTCTGGGCCACTGGGTGCCCCCGAGGGAGCGCTTGGAAAGTTCCTCGGGGCGCCAACACGAACGCAATGAAAACTGGGTGTGGGCATGCAGCGGCGCACACCTGAAAGCGCGGGGGTTTGGAACCGCCCCCTTGGCTGCGTGCAAGCTCCAAACGCCAGCGACGCACGGTTGGAGCTCGAGCCAAAATGGCTGCGGTATCGACTAGGAGGAGGGAGAAGGAGGGAAAGGACGGCGACCGCGGTCCATCCTCCTCCTCCTCCTCCTCCTCCTCCTCCTCCTCCTCCTCCTCCTCCTCCTCCTCCCATCCTCCTCTTCCTGTTCCTCCCCCTCCTCCTCCCGCGGCGCGCCATTCCAAGGCCGAGGCGCCTCGAGGGCCAGCTGTTCCTCCAGCCCGGCGGGGTCCCGGCCGTACACGTCGCGTTCTAGCTTCTCCCTGCGGGCGGCGCGAGATCCTCCTGATGTCTCACTGATGTGCAATGTGGCCGTTCGCTCGCTCCTCCTTCCTCCTCCTCCTCCTCCTCCTCCTCCTCCTCCTTCTCCTCATCCTGCTCCTGCTTTTGCTCCTGCTTTCGCTCCTGGTTTTGCTCCTGCTCCTGCTCCTCCTCCTCCTCCTCCTCCTCCTCCTCCTCCTCCTCCTCCTCCTCCTACTCGTCCTCGTCGTCCTCCTCCTCCTCCTTCTCCTCCTCCTGAGGCACTAATTGTCCGAGAGTCCTCTGGACGCGACCATCCTCCTCCTCCTCCTCCTCCTCCTCCTCCGCCTCCTCTTCCTCCTCCTCCTGCTCACCCGCCTGCTCCTTCTATTCCTGCTCCCCTCCTTCCTGCTGTTGCTCCTCCCCCGTGTCGGAGGTCCTCGCGGATTTCTTGGATCGGCGCTGGACCCCATTACCTGGCGTACGGAGCGCGCCAGAGGCGGCGCAAGAGGGGCCCTCCTGTTTTTCAGCGTTGGGTGAACTTGAACGTCGTGGCTGTAGCGTTCGTTGGGCCCCGCGCGCGGAGCGCGCCAGGGGCGGCGCCAGAGGCTCCGCCAGGGGGGCCCTCCCGCTCCTGCTCCTCCTCTCTGACGCTGCACGGGCATGAGCGGCCCAGTTGCTGCGCCCCTCCTGCTGCCCCTCCCGTCGCTGTCGCTGGTGGCTTCGGGGCCTGTGGCAGACGCGGCCCATCCACCCCGCGGCGGACGCCCACCCGGGTGACGACCACCGCGCAGGGCCCCACTTGGGGCCCCGCGTGGGCCGAGGTCCAGCACGCCCAGTGGCGAGGGCGTGTACCTGGCGCTACGGCCTCTCCTCCACCTCCACTCTGCATCCTGCATCCTGCTCCTGCTCCTGCTCCTCCTGCTCCTGCTCCTGCTCCTCCTCCTCCTCCTCCTCCTCCTCGCCCCCGGCCTGGCACCTCCTCTCGTCAAAGGTTAGGCGCTTAATGACTTCTGCTGTCCCTCGACCCGCGCTGGAGCTGGCGCAAGATGTTCCAGATCTTTCTGGATATCTCTGAATGTACTCCGATCCATCTTGTCGCGCATCGATTTGAGTAGATATACCGCGGTTTCTCTAGCTTGAGTCCCGCAAGTTGATTGGAAAAGAGTCGTCAAACCCTTAGGGATGGTCTCCATCCGCCCCCTCCCGCCGCTGCTCCCACCCCCGCTCGCTCCCACCCCCGCCCACCGTGTTCCCCCCCGATCGAAATCCACGTTGAGATCGCCTCGGTATCGGCACGAAAAAATCGGAGAGGTCCCAAATCGGTCGCAGCCCCGAGGAGGAAGAGAAGGAGGAGGAAGAGAGAGGCGTGCTCGCGCAACATCTGAGATTCCTCCCCTCCCTCCGATATCTTCCACTGCGCTCCATCTTTCCCCAAACGGCCGACCCAGTTGTCAAATGAGACCTTGGCTCTGAATAAGACTTTCAGCGCGAAGGGGCCAAGGGCAAGGCGATATGATGGAAAAGGGGCATGAGGAGCAACAGGAATTCTGGGACATACCACCCTCTTAAGCATCCGAGGGGAAGGGAGATGTTGC